ACCTGCGGCTGCGGGAGTGACCCCCGTGTGGCGCCGCGACGTGGGCGGTGTGTCGTGTTTCTTTGGGGCGGGGGCAGAGCCCCTTCAGCCCGGCAGCGGGCTGAGGTAACGCCGAGGGCCCCGCAGGGCTGGCGATTCTCGCCGCTGGGGGTGGATTTGGCCCGGGAAGCTGCTGGGGGCCTGCAGAGGAGTTAGGGCCGAGCCTGTGCAGAAGGGAAGGGTCGCTGTGAGGGGAGAGAACAAGCAGGCCTCTGCCTCAGTTTGCATCATGGAGGAGCTGCCCAGGCAGTGAGGATTGGAGTGTGTTTTAGGTGAAGTGTGTGCTGCTTTGTAGGCTGAGCTCCTCTTGGCTAAGATTGCAGGTCTTGCCGTGCTCTACAGCCTAGCAGGCTTTATTCACAGCTTCAGAATTGGTGGTGGGCTCTGCTGGTTGGTTCAGACATGGTTATATGAAGCTGTAACTTCCCCACAGTACCTCTTGTGGACGTGTTAGTGTGAGAATCCAACAACAGGGGAGTTTGCTGAGGAGAATGTATTGCAATAGTGTTGCTCATAGTATTTATTGGAATAAGGATGGGGAATGGAGGAGATTGCAGACTAATCCTGAAGGTGGTTTGTCTTAGAACAGAAGATGACAGGAAGAGCTAGAGCCAGAGCAAGAGGAAAACCTCCAGGACAGGAGGCTGCTTTTCGTCCTGTAGGAGCTTCATATGTAAGTTGGATTTCTATATTTATAATTAGCACAACTAGACTTTGAAATGCTATAGCTCAACCACTTTTTATTTAATTGTCAGGTATATATGTTAGGTTATGTGTATGTATGTATGAAGTCAGGGGTATAGTTATGTTATCTCCTTTTTATTACGGAAATTTTTGTGTGCTTACAAATACTCTATTATAATGCAGTTGTCATAATAGAGCTAGTGGAAATAGGGATGTTCTCATATTCTGCTTTGTCTGCTGTGATACCCTGCAGAGAAGTAGAGTGTATTAGTATTTGGGCAGAACCTTGGCAGGTGTTCTGAGCTGTTCCCATTGTTTTTAATGTTAATATCAAGGACTTTCTGTGTCTGCACTTGAGTGGGTGTTTAGGGCTTGTTTTGTGCATACATATATATATACACAAATACATATTGCCCTGCTCAAACTGTTCATTGCCACATACTTGGACATCTTTTAAAGCATTTTATAAAATTTGTCAGTTATTATTAATAATCTTTCACTTGACAATGTGATTAGTCTGAAGGAGTGTTTTCTAGTCTATTTCTTGCCGGTATCAAATTAGTTTAAATCATGGTAGAAGGTTGGTTGTAGTTTTGTTTCTCAAATACAGAAATGTGTCTTGAAGTAGCATTGATGCACTGCTTGAACTTGGAGCAGAATTTATAAGGATATAAGGCCTCGTTTCTTCAGACTTGGTCTCTTTGACTTGAATAGAATTGTTAGCAGAAGTCAGGAGATGATATCAGTGTCCTGCACTGGGTAAAAGGAAAGTAAAGGAAACATGAGGTTTAGGGACTTTATGTGGACTGACTATTGATGCAGTCTGAGTAGAAAAAAGTCTGGTTTGGCTTTTTTTTCCTAGATGGGCTGCCCCTGCTCTGCCATATGGACTGTATATCTGATCCCTCCAAGAGAGTTAGTTCCAGAAGTGTTTCCAAAGACATGTTGAGGAGAGATTGTGGATTGAATAAGAGGATTTGCATTAGGTGTGTGGAAAATGAGGGCTTAGGCATGCACTGTTGGACTGGAGAATCCATCTAGGTGTCATTGCTGCTTCCTGTGGGGGCAAGAATGGAACATACATGAGAGATGTAAAGCTGAACTGAATTTCCCTGAACTACTTTTATGAATACTACAGGGAGCACAAAGCCTGTTCCAAAGTGCTGTTACTGTGATAGTACTGGACTCTGATTATTTTCAGAGACTCTTGAGGGTTGTGTACATTTGATCTTTGCAGTAGTGCTCATGGGTATTTACAGACTTCTTAGAGGGTGTACTTTTGACAGATCTTGGAAAACGTAAAGATGAGGAGGAGAGTATAAGAATAAAGAGGCCTGTATAGTTACTGATCTTGTGTTTGGTGTCAGAACATGTATATGGGAATCACAAAATGTTTAGCCAGAGTGCTGAAGGTAAAGGAGTAGAGAAACTCCAGGAATGGATGGCTGGCAGGTTGTGTGACACTGTTACGGGGATTTCTGGTGCTGTGTTGTAGGATGAGACAGCCAGGCTGGCTCTTGGGCCCAGGTTTCATGATCATCCTTGGTATTGGTCACTCGGTTGTTTATACATAGAGAGCTTGATTTCTCCTGGAGGGACAAATGTCTGGGGCAGGCCACAGTCCAGTAATATGAAACCCTGAACTGTGGGATTGCTCATGGCTGAAGTTTGTGTGTTGCAGTTCTTCCAGGCAGGACATTTATTAATATTAGTTATTCAGTAGACAGTAAAATTACAAAAGTTGTTTTTCTGAAATAAGTAGTCAACTACTTGAAGTATCAGGGAGGATTAGAAAGGAGAAGTCCATAAATTTATGTCAGTGCTTAGAAAGAGATTCGCCTTTACTTTTTGTTAAATCAATATTTGCTTAGAAGAAAAAAAACCAGAACTCTGTTGTTTGGGAGTTTAAGAACAGAGATAACTCAAAGTGTTTTGAGTTTACTAGTATCTTTGCAGCTTAATATAGCAAAAAAAATTAGCCTTTAAGTAACTGTTACACTTGGGTGGTTGAGTATTCTGTACTTGGTTAGTGACTGTTTTGCTGTACTCCTAGAAGTGTGCTGTTTGTTCAGTTGCAGAAGCAACAGGTTCCACAGACTTTGCCAAGCCAGCTGCCCGGCCGTCAGCAACCTCAGCAGCCACATGTTCTTCCACCAGTACCAGAAGCTCATGGTAGTCGTGGGCGACAGAGGGGCCCTCAGGGTGTCCCACAAGGCCAGAGCGAGAGAAGGCCAGAAGGTCAGCAAGGGCGAAAGTCTTCATTGCCCACAAGAGCACATGTTGTGCAGAGAATTGCAATGAAGACATTCCTTAGACTGTATTTCTAATTTTTCTTTTCAAATTGAGACTTAGTAATAACATTTGGAAAAGTTCACTATGTGATAATAGTATTGTCATCCTGAGGTGCAGTATAATTGAATCAGGAATTTTGAAAGCTGCCTTAAGTTTGCTTTCCTCAGTCTGTACTGTGTCCTCTATTAAAACAGTTAAAAAATATTAGAAAGCTACTGACATGATTAATTGCGTGAATACCAAATAGAAATTTCATTTTGGTACCTCATTGCTTTTCTTGAATCTTCATAAGGAAGTTAAACTTTCTTACCTATATCTGGTAATACTGGTTTTAATTGTGGTATATTTAAACTTTTCTGAGCCAGCTGGAGCTGAAATGAAAGGTTTGTCCTCCCTGTATTTGCAGAAGAGATTATTGATTTGGAGGGTTTACATGTGGTGTTTTTTTTCTTCTCTCTAGTGAGCTGTTCTATTTGCTTACTAGTTAACTGTCTGTAAATCTCAGGAAGCTAATAAGCGTTGCCTGAATGCTATTTTAAAGTTAATTTACTACTTAGCAAAAGCTGAAACTTAGCGTTTCATCATGGTTTTTAAAAATTTTCGATGTATCTGACTTTCAAAATTGAATTGTATTTAATTATTACTTGTATATAAAACCTGACTGTGATTTTTCTTCTTCCTCAAATTTCAAAACTATAGGATTACAGATTTCGGCAGGATTTCAGGAATTGTCTCTATCAGATAGGGGTGGACATCGTAGAGATTTCCATGACCTCGGGGTACACACTCGGCAAGCCATAGAACATGTTAAAGAATCAAAAACTGGTATGTTCAGATTAGACTATAGACGTATAGGCAGATTGAAATGAAACATAGTTTTGCTTTGTTTCTGCTTTTAGTAACCCGTAGAGAATGAACTTAAAAAATCCTTACTGAGTACTAGGAAGAGTTACAAATTACTCCCAATACTGAAGAGGAACAGTAAGATGCCATGTCTGATGGCAAAGTGCTTCACACAAAAGCTGTGTAGGATTTTATATTTTCAGCTGTTCAGACATAAATGTTCCTTGTACATTTTTGATGTACAGGACTCTCTAGGTTTGCTTCTGGAAGTTCTGGTTTGTAACACGTTGTCGTAAGCAAATTTGTAAAGATCTCCTAGTAAATGTGGATATTGAGATCTCCTTTGAAGAAACATTTTAGTTTAAACAAAAAGTGGTATGCTCCTTGCCTTAAGATGAAATTATGCATATAAGAAGTAGCAAAAGGAGGCTTTCATGGTGGCCCTGCCTTCTGGCTAGAGTGCAATAGTTTTTAATGTCCAACAGTACCAGATTCTGTGCTCAAAATAGTTTTGTGTTGCAACTGACTCTGTGAGAGATCAAAACAATGTAACAACTGTAATGTACTTTTGCTTAGTATAATACTAACTGAAGCATGCCGCAGGCCTCAGGATGGTAGAGCTTAGTTCAATTGAGGTGCCTTTGGGCCAGCAGCAGTGTAGTAGTTTTCTTTCTCACCTAGATTTTCAGTCCAGCTATGCTGTTTCCTAGCTGAGCTAGAACAGTTGCAGAACACAAGTGATCTCTAATCTTTGAATGCCTTAGTTTTTTTTAAAATTTCTCAAAGCTGTTGAATTACTATAAACTGGTAGAATTCTGTAAGTGTTGAGATGTTTCCCTTTCATTTTAGGTTCTTCAGGTGTTCAGATAAAGTTACTTACAAATTACATCCGTTTGAAGTCTCGACCCCAGTGGGCTTTGTATCAGTACCATGTCAGCTACAACCCGGAGATGGAGGCACGCCGGCTTCGGTCAGCTTTGCTCCTGCAGCATGAAGACCTACTCGGAATAACACATGCATTTGATGGCTCAATATTATTCTTGCCAAGAAGACTAGGGAATAAGGTGTGATATGAGAATACCACATTGTCTTTTATTTTGACTTGCATTTTCTGATGCTAACCTATCCCTCCCTCAAGCCCCCTCTATCCCTTGTTTCCACTCATTGCCTGACTGAAGAGACCTAGAACCCGTGGTGGCAACACTGGGAACCAGAGGAGTATGGAGTGAAGTCAAGCCTAGAAAAGGGAGAGGAGGAAGATGTTTTTCACTGTGTGTTCTAATATTTGTCTTTTTGCCTCCCAGCATCCCAGTATTAACATTAATTAATAATTAAATATATATTAATTGGCAATATATTCCATTTATTTCCTCAAGTTGGCTCATGATGATCCCATGATGGTAAGTGGTAAGTAATTTCCCTGTCTTCATCTTTAATTGAACTGCCTTGGGGATATCCTATGTTCTGCTCTATTATACAGCCCTGTTTGCCTCTAGTTTAATTATTAACCTGACTTCACTTTCTCAGGTTACTGAAGTTCTGAGTAGGACTCGACATGGAGAGGATGTGAAGATAACGATCACGTTGACTAATGAGTTGCCACCTACCTCACCTACATGTCTGCAGTTTTACAACATCATCTTTAGAAGGTTTGCTGTTCCAAGTTCTGTCTTTAAAAATACCCAAGTTAGGTTTGGACTACAAGTCAATAGTACAAATGTAAATTTTAGAGCCATTGTAGCTACCATTACTGTGTGGCCAACCACATCAGGAAACATTTTAATGTGCGATTCTGTCATGTTTCTGGCACAGTGTGAAATGAGTTTGTACCTTTTCCCTGAGTGAGCAGGTTCATACTGGGTGCTAACTGTTGTAGGCAGTTAGTCCTCTCTCTGCCCTCCTTTTATGTCTGTGGATTTGCCTCTTAAAGCAAAGAGTAGTGCAGGACCTGGAACTGGCACATTACTTTTTTGTTGTAGTCTTTGCTCTTAACCTTGGTACCTGTGCTGCCTAGTTCATCTGAAATGTAGCTTGTTTAGACTTCTGCTGTGAACTGGTTGGTGAAGGGTTGGATTGTATGCTAACTTATTCTAAGCTGATTCATTGTCATTATTAAATTTTCTAAACTGAGTTTAATTAAATGTTTATGTTCAATAATGTTCCATCTAGTCAGGTGAAAAAAAATGAGATTGCACAGAGGGATGGGGCCATGCATTGTTTGATAAACTGAATATTAATGGTAAATTACACCCATATTTTGACTTCCTAGGCTTTTGAAAATGTTGAATTTGCAGCAGATCGGACGTAATTTCTACAACCCTGGTGACCCTGTCAGCATCCCTAATCACAGGTTTGGCAAAAAGGATGCTCAGATTTAGGAGGGATGCAGGCATAAAGGATGATATTTTGATAATGCTCACATGGTTTATTTTGTAATAAAACTGGTATTGCTGGGAAGCATGAGACTGTTCTCCTAATTTACTTTATTCTATGTGTAAGATCTCTTTACTCTTTACCGTTTTGTGTTCTGTTGTTACATTGTCAGAAACCTTGCTTAAATGTCTGCAAGATGAGATCTCTAAATACATGTAATCCTAAAGCTCAAAAGTGTTCAGCCTTCATTCTGAAGACCATTTAATTTGCCTTGTAAATCTGTATTTGGCCACACATGGGATGGGTGCTTCTGGAACTGGCCTATTGCCAGCTGTCATGTCTTGTCCCAGTTCCCTGCCAGGATCCCCTCCAGTGTGACTGGTGCTTCTGGCTAGCCCCAGGCCAGTCGTAGAAGGTAGTAAGCTTGTGAGTTTGACTGAAGCCCCATCCTATGGCTCTGGTGTATTCCTTGCCATTAACCTAGTATGTGGAACTGGGTTACTGAAAGAAACTGGACAGTGTTGTACTAGATAAACTGTTTGGTCTTGAATATCCATATGTTTTGTATGTAAGATTAATAGTATGAAATGTGTTTCTTATGTTTTAAGGCATCATTTCTTTCACATCATTTATATTTCTACATTATTAAAATGATCTTGTTTTATCTTCACTAAAGATACCTGGATTTAATTTTTTTTATTGTTTTGTTAACTTTCAGGAGCTTGTTTATATTTGGATAATGGTTTCTTTGTGTCTTGGCTGCTTTCTGGTGTCTGGGAAAGTGAACAGAAATAACTCAAGGGGTGATAAATGGAGGTGCTTTAAAGCCCAGTAAGATTCTCTGTGTTGTTTTTTTGACAGGTTGATGGTTTGGCCAGGCTTCACAAGTTCTATTCTCCATTATGAAGAGAGCATTATGTTATGTGTAGATGTGAGCCATAAGGTTCTTCGCAGTGAAACAGTGTTGGATTTTATGTACAGTCTGTATCACCAGGTGGAAGAGCAAAAATTTAGAGATGCCTGTGCTAAAGAGTTGATAGGTTTGGTTGTTCTTACAAAGTAAGTTTCTTTGGACTCTTTTCTTAAGAGATCTCCTATTTTTTTTTTCCCAAATGTTCCATGTCCTGAAGTATACAATGAAGCATCAGAAAGCATGACAATTATATAATTATCAAGGTAGCAAACTAATCAAGGTGACAGCATTTACAAAATTCAGGAGGTATCTACTGAATTAGTTCTGTTTTCATTTGGTTGCTGCTGCTGATAGCAAAACTTCCAACTTGGATGAGTATTCCTATTAAGTTTTCCATCCTGGAGTTCCTTTCTGTTTGAGTTAAGATTTAAAAAAACCCCACACAACCAAGTGATGAAATTGTTTATTTAGGTACAATAACAAAACATACAGAGTTGATGACATCGACTGGGAAGGCAATCCACAGTGTACCTTTAGAAGAGCAGATGGTTCTGAGATCAGCTTTGTGGACTACTATAAGAGGGTATGGAAACTTGACTGTCAGTGTGTGCGTTTATTTTTGATGGATATCTGAGAGCAGCAAGTAACCTCAACAACATGAATTGGCATGAGTTCTCTATCCGAATGAATAGTTGGTCAGGCAGAAATGCCAGGAGGCATCCATAGATGAACAGGAGCTCCTGGGAAGACTTTAAAAAGGAAGCTAACCTTTGGATAGTTTGGATGGTTTCTGAGCTGTGGTTCTCTTTAAGAAAAAATTAAACTATGAAGTATGTTGACTTGACTGTCAGCTTGTGTTTCCTTTTTGTGGTTTGGTTGTTTTTCTTCTTTTTCCTAAACTAAATTAGTGAGCCTCAGACAGACGAACTTTTGCCAGGTTCAAGGAAAGGTTGCAGGAGGGCTGAATTTCAGATTTTCCCTTGGAATCTTGTTTGATTGTTTGATGTCTTGAATTAAATTGCTTTGTAAGGCAGGAACATGTCCATTACTGAACTGGAAAGAGCATCCTAATCTTGAGTTAGATATTCTGGGTGATACTGTCTCTAGGAAGGCAGAAGCATTGCTTTTTATTGTTCCCTACAAGTTAACAATTTGATGGCAAAAATAAAGAGCCTTTTCTGACAAAAGCAGTTTCAAGTTAGATATGCTAACTGAAAAAGTTGCTGGTTGGTTTTGTTTCATTTTAGGGGATGCACATTTTGTGCAGTGAGTGTTACTATGAAAACTGAGTGTTTTTTATGAATAAACTAACAAACAATAGCTGTTTCTAATACAGCAATATAATGAAGAAATTAGTGACTTGAACCAGCCTGTCTTGATCAGTCAGTCTAAGAGGAAAAGAGGAATCAGCATGCCAGGACCTGTGATTCTAATTCCAGAGCTGTGCTTCCTAACAGGTACTCTAGCATGTTTTTGTATCAAAGCACTTGTTGAACCATAATGCCTACTGAAACTGGTATTTTGACAGCAGTCTCTTGCCAAGTGAAGTTTGTATAAATGTGAGTTCAGAAACAAGTTTTGTAATTAGAAGATGAGATGTTCAAATGAGGCTGAAAAGTATGAGGGTTTTTTGTGTTGCATGGTCTTTACTTACAGTGTTTAACATTGGCCCCCAATTACATGTAGATCACATTATTTTTTTGTTGGTAGAACTTCTATTAAAAAAGAGAAATTGACTATAAATTGATAGTTTTGTAAGATAGGTATGTATGTTTATTTTCCTCTGAGATAATCACTTTGCACTAGCAGTGCCTGTCCATTTCAGCACTGTTTTGTTTCAGAAATGTAAATAAGAGCTGCATGTCCTGTTTGGTTTCCTCTCAAGTGCAAAAATCTGGGATTTTTTTTTTTCTATGCAGATGGGAATGTATGTACAGGGAGAAGCTGAAAACCTTGATTACTAGTGACACGACTTCACGTGTCTGCTGTTAGTTAATCTGCATGACTGGCAAGTTTACTTTTCTTAGTTCTTAGTCTAGCTTTTACTCATTACAGGTTTAACTGACAAGATGCGTAATGACTTTAATATGATGAAAGACTTGGCTGCTCATACCCGACTGCCACCTGAGCAAAGACAGCATGAAGTTAAAAGACTTATTAACTACATCCAAAAGTATGCTACCTTAATATCTTCTGTGTTCTTTGCCATGAAAAAAATTGTATGATAAACTTTTTTCTTGCTACAAACTTTGGAAATATTACTGGTTTTAAAAAAGAAAAGTCTCAGCAAGAACAAACTTCTTTGTCTTAATTTAAATCTTTTTTTGAAACAGAGATGACAACGTTCAGAAAGAGCTCAGAAACTGGGGCTTAAGCTTTGATTCTGATTTAGTATCCTTTTCAGGAAGAGTCGTACAAGGAGAAAAGATCTTTCAAGCAGGAAGTGTGGTAAATAAGACAAATTCTAAAACCTTCTGGATCTTTTATTGATGAAGCAAGTTTTTGAGGAAGGAAATACTACTTGTTGGTATATAAATTAAGGATTAGAAATGAAAACATTATACACAAGTTTTTGTCTAAACAGGAGACTCACAAACTTAAATAATTTGCAAGTTTGGTTAAAAAATCTCTGAAGATTTTTCTGGCTTGCGTTACAGTGGTGTCTTCCTTTCAAAACAATCTGTTAAAGTAATTTCAGATGCAGAAACTAGGAGACCAGAGATGTTTCTAATTATTTTCCATTTATTAAAATACCAAGGCTTTCAGATGAAAAGCCACTGATCATTTCAATTCAGTAGATAGAATACATGAAGTATCTGTTCACTGAAAAGTGGGGTGACTCTTCAGTGTGAATAGCTTAAATTTAAATTGTCATAAATTGCCAGAAAGCATTGTGTATTTTCCCTGTAGTAGAGATCTTGTGTTTGCTTTCAATGAAGGCTAGATGGAAAAGGGCATGTTACAGTTCTTGATGTGCAGGTTTGTGTATTTGGTAAAGCTTTTTTTTATTCTTGTAATTGAGAAGATCTGGTATCTTCTTTCTGATAATCCCTTTTTATACTTAAAACAGTTACCTCATGAAAAGGGAAAAACAGTATAAAAATAAGTCAATACATGAACAGCTGTCTTTGAAGCACTAAAACTGCAGCAAATAGTAACAACTTATTTGGGCTAAAAATTCTAAGCCTCTTTGCATAATTATGAATGACACATTTTGAAAAATGTAGGATTTCTTGAAAGGGTTTTATAAAGCTTATTTTAAATTAGTGAAAAGAGCAGTAAAAGAACTGATAAAAATCATGTCATTTGTTCTGGACAGAAATGTTACAGAAGTGTATGAGGAAGTAGTTGAGGTGTAGCTTGTTTGGTAGAGTGTTCATTTTCTTTCTTTGCCATCTCTTGTTTACAGTTTGATTACAACCCTCAGCTTGCTGATTGGTCAAAGGAAATTAGAGGAGCTCCCTTAATCTGTGCCAAGCCCCTGGACAACTGGCTATTGATATACACACGGCGCAACTATGATGTTGCAAATACATTGGTACAAAATCTGTTCAAAGTCACACCATCTATGGGAATCAGGATGAACAAAGCAACCATGTAAGTGTCTTTGGAGAGCTGATGGAAGAATCATTTTATAATTACCAAGGTATATCTCTTAGTATGCTTAGTCTTTAAATGAGCAGATAGTATAGTATGTCACACTACTGGCTTCTGTGAGATTTTTAATAGAGCAAAGTTGCTTTCAGTATGCATATTGTTCAGTTTTATCTTGTGATTGATTTTCTTGTTCATGCTTTCATTTGAGACCTGTCACTGGAGGTTAAAGCATGCCAAAACCCAACAGTATTAGACACACAGTGAGAAAAACCTTCTCAAGTGGAGCTATATGTAGTGCAAGAAGGAATACACACTTTCTTTCTGACTTTGGATGTATTCTGATTTGTTCTTACTGCAAGTACCTTCCTCTGAGTACTTGTGCTTGCTTCTACCTTTGAAGTTCACTGCCTTTGGAAGCTTTAGTTGTGGATGATTTCTCTTAATTGTCAAAGTGTGTGAATATTGTATGTATATGTATAGCTATTTATTGTATGAATATGTATATCTATAAATGTGACACTTGGTACAATATGGATGCATGAGGTTTTTTTTATTCCTGTAAGCATTTTTTTTCTCTTCCTTTTCAGGATTGAAGTAGATGACAGGACAGAATCTTACTTAAGGGCTTTACAGCAAAGCATTACTGCTGACACAAACATAGTATGTATTTGAATCCATAAAATCATGTTCATCTCTGTAGTTTATATTTTAAAATCAGTGGAATTAATTCACAGAAATAAAACTCTTGGCTCATGAGTATTTACTACATGCTTCCTCATACTTTATTTCAAACCTCAGATTAATTATGTGTATCCTTCTGGAAATGAACCTTTGTACTTGATTCTGAAGAACAGACACTGAAACTTCCCTGGTATTTCTTTCACTGCCAACACTTGTATATTTCTCTGAAATGTAGAAAACTTTTTTTCTAAAGAGCTACAACTGTTATGTGAATCTGAGAATGCAGCTTCTTACATTTTTATTTTTTCTTTAAAGGCAGTTTGTGTTTTGTCCAGTACCCGAAAGGATAAGTACGATGCTATCAAGAAATACTTATGTACAGATTGTCCCATTCCAAGCCAATGTTTACTTGCTCGCACCTTAAGCAAGCCTCAGACTGCTGTGGCCATAGCAACAAAAATTGCCTTGCAAATGAACTGCAAAATGGGTGGAGAACTTTGGAGTGTTGAGATCCCAGTAAGTAAGATGTTTGACTAAAACAGTGACTTTTCCTTATTGAGGCTTATTTAAAAAGTGAGCCTTTTTTTTCCCCAAAAAAATAATATGGCACATTCTTTGTGTGGTTTGTTTTGTGTCTGTGAGAAGTAGTATGAAGTTAAACATGATATAAGGAGACATTTAATTAAAAGAGCTTTTACCTGGTGGTTTACTTAAGTGTCTTGAAACTGTGCAGTTTACCTCATGATCCTGTTAACATTACAGGGTGGAGATAATGGGTGCTTTGTCCTGGTTTCAGATACTAATGCATGTACTGGATTCCTTTTCAGTTGAAACAGGTGATGGTTGTGGGAATTGATTGTTACCATGACAACTTATTTGGAAAGCAGTCAGTCGCAGGATTTGTTGCTAGCCTGAATCAAACAATGACTCGGTAAGATTTGAATGCCAAAGGGGGGAAAAACAAACCAAAAGAAAACTCAAGACAACTTTTATCTCTTGCTTAACTGAAAAGCAGCTTGAATATGCTAGGCTATCATGAAAGTGTCCAGATTCATTTACTGTACATTGTTAATAAGAACTATAGATCATCAAGAAAATGTTTTGAAGAACATCTTTTATTTTGTTCTTCACAGGTGGTTTTCCCGCTCTGTTGTTCAAAATCGTGGGCAAGAACTTGTGGATGGGCTCAAAGCTTGCTTGCAAAGTAAGGGAAGGCTTTCTGTTCTTCTGAGTCATACATATCTAAGGAATGATTTAGCTTCCTCAAAACACACCTTCTCAGCTGCCTTGAGAGGAGGCCTTAGCAACTTGCACTTAGATAAAAACAGAATGAAAATACAGCTGTAAACGTTGCAGAAAATTAATAGCATTATGTGTACAATCATTCATTGATTCCCATATTTCTTAACAGTAATTAAACAGAATTTACTGATGCTCTTCAAAAAATGCTTTAAAGGAGATAGACTTTAAGGTTGACAGCTCCTTGCTGTGAGAGATGCCAGCAGAGTAGATACATTTTCTTAGGCTCTTTCTTTTTTGTGTTGGTACACAAATAAACCAGAATTCTCTGCAGGTAAGATTTTTGTGTCATGATGCATAACAGTTTCAGGTTACTGAAAAGTTGAGGACCTCAGATTTCAGAACTTACAGATTTTTTTTTTTCTAGGATTAAAAAATCTATGTTTGTTTTGGAATGCGTTATCATCATCGCTAATAGTTTTACTAATTGTTTGTTTTTAAGCTTCTCTGAGAGAGTGGTTCAAGTGGAATAATTATTTGCCCTCTCGTATTATTGTGTATCGTGATGGTGTAGGAGATGGACAGCTGAACACATTGGTTAATTATGAAGTGCCTCAATTTCTGGATTGCTTGAAGAGTGTTGGTACAGACTACAAGTAAGTCTCTTTTCACCAACAATTTTTTTTATACTGTAAGAGAAATACACACTGGAGTACAAAAAGTGGTTAGAGATTAAGATTGTATTGCTTCATCCTTTATTTATTTTTACTTGAGCTCAGATAATTGCTTTTCTGATGATTGTTTCAATGGTTGGAGATACCTAGCTTGTCATAGAATAGAAATAGTCTGTAGTACAGGCACCATGCATTCACTCTGCACTTGTACACACACACTCATTAAGCGTTCCTGTTGCATATGCTAACACTTTTTTCCAGCTGGTTTATCATAGCCTGTTTGCTATCACATGTCCAGTAGGCTCGGTTTTTTTCTTTCCATTTCTGAAAGGACCAGCTGTTGTCCAAGCACTTACATCCTGCATGCAAACATTACTGTTTGAAACTGCAGTGACTTGGTTTCTTGATTGGCTCTGAAATATGAAAGTGTCTCCTGACACCACAGGCAAGCAGGCACCAACCAACCCACAGCCAGTAGGCACTGTAGCACTTACTTCTGTTTATCTTGTGTTAATGGCTTCCTCTTCAACAAAAATGCTGTTAGAACAAAGCATTTTCTATATGAAAATATGAGGTAGAGAGAGTAGAAGTCAGATCTGAAATGCGAAGATCCTGTTTTGGAGTATTTTGTTTCTCTCTGTTAAGATAAATATAAGCTGGACTTGTGAGAAATACTATCAAAAGTTGCACCTGAAACTAAAAATATAAATTTAGGAACAGTGTCATCAATGAGTTAGAGAAGACTCGTATGTGAAATTTATGCCCTGGAGAAGTCTAAAATTGCTAGTAAACTGAAGCTCTAGAGCATCTGCTCCTGAAATACTCTGTGCAGTTTTTCAAGTTTGTTTTTTTTTTTCTTTTCATTGATTTCAGTCCAAAACTTACTGTGATAGTTGTGAAGAAACGAATGAGTAGCAGATTTTTTGCAGTGTCTGGTGGAGGACTTAAAAACCCACCCCCTGGTACTGTTGTTGATGTGGAGGTTACCAGACCGGAATGGTAAGTTGGTAGGTTGTAACACTTGTTTTTACTGGCAACCTTATTACATAGGCATATCTGATATTGACTGTGGGATCAGGTACATTCTTTTTACTGGCAACCTTATTACATAGGCAATCTATCTGATATTGACTGTGGGATCAGGTACATTTTCACATTTTGGTCCTTTTGAAAAGAAATCATAGTGAATGTGTAGATTAAAGAAATGGAGAAACTTAAATTTTATTAATTCATTATGCAATTATTTCATGGTTTCCAACAGGTAATATTCATGGACTATATAGGCTTTAAGTAAGTGTGTGTTTCACTCTGGTGTTGTTTAGATTTTTAAAGGTTAAATACCAAAAGAGTGACAATTGATAGGATTGTCCAGCTGTTCCTCAGTGAAATTCTGTCTGGCTGTAGTTTCTGAGAATTTACATAAATGGTGTTGTATTATGAGCAGGTGTTGTGTTTTTTGATGTTTGGGAGGTTACTGGAAGAAGAGTCAGAGTGGTACAACTCTGTGTGCAGGTGACACGTGTACACAGTTCTCACTGACTTTAGTCACTGTTAGTATTGAATGTTTTTGCAAATCTCACTCTCTGAAGCTCGGCTCTGGGAAGTGCAGAGCTTGCCTGGTACACAAGGAAAGGTTTGCCTTTGGTGGAGGGGTGCTGGAATGTGTACAAAATAGTGCTGTGACAGGCAGCTTTGCCTTTCTTTTTGTATTTAGCAACTCACTGCAGCCATTCTGGGTGTTGATAAGTGACAGACATCCAAGCGTGGCTTGGGGTGCTTGAGTAAATGAGGAACATATATAAGTGGGTGTGCAGGATGGTTAGCAGGGGAAAGTCTGAGGTTTTGGTTCTTCTGTTACAGGTATGACTTCTTTCTTGTCAGTCAGACAGTGAGAAATGGTTGTGTGGCACCCACCCATTATAATGTCATCTACGACAGTAGCAAACTGAAACCAGATCACCTACAACGTTTAACCTACAAACTTTGCCACATGTACTATAACTGGTCGGTAAGTATTTCCTATAGGAAATTACAATATTTTTTCTCTAAGATTGTGCCTTTCCATGCAGTAACAAAAGGAGGGTAGAAAGAAGTATCCTTAAAATGCCCATGTGGATCCAAAAAGCCTGCAAGCTTGCCTCTTCACCTGGAGTGCTGGTTTGAGAACTAGACATTTTATGATTACATGATCTCTTTTGAAGTCTGAAGATTAAAGTAATTTTTATTCCTACTCCAAAGTGCTAGTTCTGAATATTGTTCCCAAATTTTATGTCAAGAGCAAAACTGAAATGATAATTTCATACCTGCAGAAATACTTGCTTCTTTCTGTGGAGATGTTCCTCCATTCCTCTTGAGAGGAGGAACTGTTGTTACTGTTATTATAACAGTAACAACAAAGAGTCACTAAATAAGGTTACACTGCCTGTTTCTCCATCTGTACAGTAATTTTACTTTAGATTATTTTTTCACTGAAGACCACAGAAAGTGCAGGAACAGGGTGTTTTTTTAAAAAAAACCCAGACAGTGATGTCCCATGGATTTACAGACATCTTACCAAAATCTGACTGACTGGTTTCTTAAGAAGAGTGAACTGATCTTAATTATGTACAGCAGGGTTTTTTTTTTGTTTTTGTTCTTTGTTTGCTTGTTTCTCCTGTTGCATACCAAGATCACCACAGTCAGCTCAGGCCTGACATGTGCTTTAGATCTGTCACTTCAGTGGCCATAAATAATTTCACATGGCTTACACACATCTCACATTCTGTGAGATCCAGCCTCAAATACAAGCCTGCCTAAGAGGCCTTTGGAGCAAGGACAGGAAGGTGGTCAAGAGGTTTTTTTGCACCTGTTCTTCTATTTAGCACATTTGTTTAATGTGTTCAGTGTTTGTAGTGTTGTTTTCAGTAGTCTGCGTAAACTACAGGTAATATAAATTGTACATACATCCATACTTTTGAATTCTAGGACTCTCTTTGTCACAGTGACTGCATGCTTATTTAAATGACTTGAAAATAATTCTCTTTTTTTCCCTTCTGCAGGGTGTGATCAGAGTACCTGCACCTTGCCAATATGCTCATAAACTGGCTTTCCTTGTTGGTCAGAGCATTCACCGAGAACCGGACCTGCTGCTTTCAGACAAACTTTACTATCTTTGAAGTTGAGTTATCATTTATAAGAAAACAGTGCATTTCTGTTCTAGGAAATGTAAAATTATCTGGGGTTTTGTGTTTTTTGTTTTGTTTTGTTGTTTTTTTTTCTTGAGACATGCAATTGTGGACCTTTATTACTGGAAAGAGCTTGAGATAGCAGCTCTACGTTTTGAATAGGTCTTTGCTTGCTAGAAAAACTATATATTATTTTGCTTTTTATTAAATAGTTTTTTACTAAAGTGTTTCTGGGGTTCTTTAGAAAAGATTTGGTTGCTTTTATTTATGTTTAGAGGAAGTATTACACAGAATTACATTTACTGTGTTGGGCAGACCAAAATGAGTTAGCTTCTCAAGCTGGTACATGATGCTTTTTAGTTTCAAAATGCAGTTATTGCATCCTTGGTTTTCTTGGCTGTTAAAACGAGAGCAAAATTTTGGCTCCCAAACTGTTTGCTGCATTAAAAACAGGCTGTCAGCCATTCTTGGTTATCCAAGCTTTGGTTGAAGAGTGTCTAGTGCTGCAAAACCTGTGGAAGTGGGGTTTTAATGCTTCCCCAGTTAAGTGATCTGCAATCCAAGTGGAAACTGTCTTGTGCTCACTTGTGTCTCCTTAGGAGTAAAGGGAAGTGAAGGGGGAGCTTTTAAAATTGGTAGAGCTGAAGAGGAAGTTCTGTGTGTGGCAAGGTATCAGGAGATGACAGCTTTGTCTAAGCTCAGATGATGTTCTGGGGTTTGTGTGACTTAGCATGGTGTATCCTACTGCCATGCTTTTACTGACTCTTGTAACCTAGTGTGACAAAATAGTTGTTTTAGTTAACTGCAAATTCATAATTGGAATAAAGTAGTTAACACTTTTTCTCATTTAACAAGCATGCAGTTAAACACTTTCCATCAAAGAATGTCAGTACACTGATGTGCAAATAGTAGACTTACTGTTCATGGGGTTTTTTTGGTTATGCAGTGTCAAGTAATGTCAAGTGTTTAGGCCTTGGTTTGTATTGTACTTCTAAGATGTTCATTGCTAACTCTTTAGCAGGAGTAGCTTGGTTGGTTAAGCAAATAGGAGTTGTGTTGATCCAAGTTGATTTCAGAGTTTTGCATTACCAGGCACAGTCAAACCAGTGCATATGGAAGAGTCTGGCTTGGTGCTGTTTTGCTTGCTTCTTTGTTTGTTGTTTTAACTGACTTGTTCTGAATGTTTTTCCTTTGTGAGATTTAAATAAAGTTGTTGCTGTAGTCCTTGCTTGTTTGATCCTGGTAGATGGATTTGTGTGGGGCTTTGGGCATGTTCTGTGACATTTGCTGGAGTCATTTTCTAGCCCTTCTTTACTGCTGGAAGGCTGGTAGAGTTTTGTGTTTAGATGAGCTGTTAACTCTACAGGTAACCTTCAGCAGCTGGTGACAGTCCTGAAAACTGCTGGACCTCAGTCACTTGTCACAGGTATTCATTCTGGTAGAGCAGCTGATGCAGTAGATTCATGAAACATACTGCACTCTACAAAATATCAAATTATTTATTTATATAAAATATAGTACACAACAGTTGTACACATGCACACACCCACACAGTACTTTACCACAAATTTAGGCCAGTTATTTTCTTTAATTAAATGTTATAATCTAGCAGACGGTATCTTACAGTAATTTACATTATTATCTGAAGACACAATGGGGAAGCTTTGATCATTCATTTATAAACCTTCCATAAATTACAAAAAGAAAGGCAGTCTGAAAAGTATGTATAAACAGTAAAAACAATTTACAAATGGACAAGAATTACAAAATAGTAACAGCCAATGACTGCCATCAATGTGTAAGGTTGTTTTTTCTTGAGATGCCAATATTACAATTAATATTTGATCATCACCTGTTGCAGCCTTTTTACTGGCTACAGCTTGTGTATGTAACACAGTTTTTCACTCTCTACTTTAGACATGCAACTTTATCTTGAAGCTGACATCAGCAATATGACAATGCCTTGGAGCTGAGGAGTGTGCCTCCACAGGAAAAACAGTTGGGGAGTAAAAGTTTTCTTATTGTGTTATTTTGTTTTTCTTTTGATAACTTAAATCAGTCAACCAGGAACTCCAAAACTGGAAGTTGTATGGTTGAAATTGGGTGCGTCTCTGACTAACTTACACTGCATCTGATTTCTTTAGTGAAAATGTTGACAAAAAATCAATACAAGGGGTTTTTGTTTGGATGGGGGGAAAAAAAAAAAAAGCAAAAATAAAAAGAAAGCATTTTGCACAGCACTTTCAAACTCCCAGGAGTTACATCAGACATTGAATGGAGTCAGTAACATAGTATTTGATCTTAAAATTACTTTGTTTTAGGGAAGATGAAGACAGTTGAATACACAGTACATACAAAGTATACGCTGCATATTTATTAGACAGTACAAATCATTGTGCATTAATAAGGCAAAACATCAAGGCTGATTAAACTAGGAGTTTCAAGACCATTTTTGTTTATGATAAATATTTGATAGGGTGGGGTGATCTTTCTGAACCAGGAATCAATAGTTTTCTTCCCCCCACTCACGGTTAAAGGAGACTAAAGGCTGAGATTTATCCAGTGGAGTTGCAGGTGGTGAGTTGACTTCAAATAAAACCATGCTCTTCTGCTCTTAAGCCCACTTTTTTTTTTTTTTTAATTTAAAGAAAAAAGTATTTGCAACAAATAATCCACTTCCTTTTTCCTTGGTGTTTCGATTAAGGAATTCACATGATTCTATTGATGTCAGACTTAAAAATGCCAAGGTTCGGTGTGACTACTGCATAGTCATGAAAGCCCTAGTTTTGACGTTTTTAAAAAAAAAATAAAAAAAAAATACACAGACTGGAAGCTTTACAAGTTGTCCAGGAGTACATGAATCATTTCACTGCACCAAGCTTTTTCAGCAGTTTCTTGCCTTTGGAAAGCAGCCCCTTTTTCTTTTTCGAGGACATATCCCTGCCTCTCCCGGGACTACCAGAACCCATAGGTGACGTAGGTGACCCAGAATGGAGATGAACTGTGGGGGATGGTGCTCTCCGTGATGTACCTGTATTCTCAGGAGGAACCTATTAGGTACATTGTTATAATTTATTGAATGTTTGAAAGCTTAAAAGCCATCATTATCAAGAAAGTTGGTAACGTCACTGTCCCACTACCCACTTAAACCAAAGGGCTGGTTCCTTTTTCTGTGGCTTAAAATAGTGTTTGAGCTTATGGAAAACACAAATTTTGAGAAAAAGTTTAGACTACAGAAAACACTCCAATAGACCCCTATTTTCATTCTATTAATTTCTGGCCACAAAACTAGTTTTGGTTTTGCATTTCAGTACTCTGATAGTGCAAACATAAAAAAGGGTACTTGTAGCTATAGATTTCAGAAAAATAATTACTATAAATTAGCAATCTATAGAAGCCAAACTGTTTTCAGAAGAAATTACTTAAAATGCTACATGATCACTTATTTTTTAATATCCTGTAAGTGCCTTTTCTTTAAGATTGGCTAGCAAACTTTATATACATATTTGAGAAGATGGCACACTGGCTTAAAAGAAAAAAAAAAAAAAGGGAAAAAGAAAAAGCTAAAATGAACCTTAATTGCAATCAAAGAAAGCTTAAAGACCCTGACTGCTTGATGTGTATGCTGCAGCTATGAGGTTGCTGAATGAAGGTGAGTACTTGCACGATAGTTAGATGACAGCATTCCTAAATATTTTAAACAGCTATTATTTTTTTTTTTTACTCAATCAGCAAAGCACTTGAATGAAAATGCTAGAAGTACTCCTACTGAGCCTAACCTAACTACAGTGGCCAGCTGGCAAGATGTGATGCTATCAATTATGCTATCAATTATGGTGATATTTTCCTAGGAGAATCCATGCTGTAGGGACCCCTGTTATCTTGTAGTTCAAACATCAGCAATTTACTGGCTTCTGCAACACTGAGTAAAGCAAAGGGGCTTCAAGCCTACTTTGATTTTAAATCAAGGTCTAATTCTAATGAAAAAAAAAACCAAAACCAACTTGGTAAAGCACCCCAACGTACACCTGAAGATACCATATATTTAGTCTAATGCATTCATTCGGTGAGCTGCATGTTTCATACTGAGACTTTTATTGCATTGGTAAACCAAACAGTTTATGATATCTTAAATGTGCATTTTCTAGGAAAATCAGTAAACTGTACCGTATGAAGGGATTTCTTTCAGAACTGGTGGATAGTTGGTCTTAGGCAAAGTGGGGTATAATCGATTATGGAAAACACATTTTAAGGCAGACAATTTGTAGCTATATTTGAGAGTAATGAGTTTCAAAACCAATTATACCCTTGTAAACTACGGTACGTATCAGTTTACATTGCATTTTAATGTCATTTAAGGGTTGGGGGTGTTGTGCTTCTTCTCTTGATATAGGAGCTTGGAATTTATAAATCCCAGGTTGGCTAACAATGCAATATGCAGCTTTTGTTTGTAGGGTAGTTAGACATCAAACTCTCCTTTCTATGTAAACAAACATTTAGCTCATGAAGAAATATGTTCCAAATGTTGACCTTCATAAAGTGAGGTCTAATTGATTTAATTCTAAGGATTCCTTTTTAGAGGATTTATCTCCTAAAAACTCTAAATTGACTTGACTAGATACAGTAAAAGCATACAGCCTATTCTTCTGTGGCCAAGGATGTTGGAGACATATTTCTTGGGTTTTTTCCCCCACAATTAAGTTTCAAGACTTGCATTAGATAGCCAGGTAGCTTTAATTGAAAACTCTATTGGTATCTTCAGTTGCTCACTTACGTGAAGGCTACATTGCCTTATTAAGGTGTGAAATGAACACTCTTCTTCTGTTTCCAAGCAGATGAGCAAAGAAATAAAAATATATATAAAATATATAATATATAAAAGTATTTCAGTGATGAAACAAAACCAAAAATGAGATACTCTAAACATGATTAGTCATTCATAGAAGAGAAGTCTTTGGGCAATTAACTAATGCCAGTTGGGCTAGGAAGTC